CCAGGCTGCTGCCGCCTGTGTCTGGGAAGTGGGTGGGGCCGGGGCCGGGGACGTGGGTGCGGCTCCCTGGGCATCACCGCGTCAGAGGTACCAGCCCCGCGGGACAGGCAGACAAGCGGGCAGTGATTCTGGGGGCCCCGGAGGAGGGGCTGGAGCGCCAGGTGTGGCCCCGGGAGGTCAGCTGGGACGCGGGCAGGTTCGGTGCTGTTTTCTTAAGGAGCAACGTGTGCAAGTTTGCAAAGCTTGGCCACCTCTTTAAACGCTTCTGCTTTTCCGAGTAGCAACTGGCGCAGATCGAGACAGACCTGAAGGGCCGCACGGCCGCCTACAGCACCCTCAAGGCCACGCTGGACAGCCTGAACCAGAAGGCCAAGTGAGTGCCATGTCCGTGCACGGCACGGGCCTCCCCCTGCGGGGCAGATCCCAGTGCGGGTATTCAGATCCCGGGTGACGGGGCTGTGTGTGTGAGAGAGTCAGACAGGCAGACAGACCGAGAGGCACTTCTGACTCGGGAGCTGGCTGGGAGGGGAGGCCTGGAGCAGACACAGCTCCTGCCTGTGCCCGAGGCCACCCTCTGGGGGCTGCTCAGAGCCCCCGCGGTCGCCCCAGGGGTCTCCGCTTGAGAGCGTTCACCGGGAAGCACTGCGGGCTGATGAACGTGTTAGCTGACATCGCGGCCTGTGTGCACGCGGCCAGGCGGTCGTTAGCAGTGTCTCGGCCTGTTGGCGGGGCAGTGGCCTCGATCCGGGTGCTAAAAATACCCTGACCTCATGCGACCAGGTCCGCTGCAGGGAGAGAGCTATTCCAGGTGAGTGCCCCCGGCTGCCGGGCCTGCGGGGCCTGGAAAGGGAAACGAGCCCTCGCTGGGCCGGTCCCGCCCCGGACGCCCGGGCCGCTGCGAGAGCTGGCCGCCGCGCTGACACCGGAGTAGCTTCAGCTGCTGCCACCAGGCTCCTCCCAGCAGCAGTGGCCGCACAGAGACAGGTGTCCCCTTCAGCAGCCCCTTGGCTGGCAGGTGACAGCACCTGAGGCCCTGCCAGCCACGCAATGCTGGCCTCCCAGACGCGGAGCCGGGGGTGCACTGAGCGCCCCCCCGCCCGACACCCTAAGCCTCCCCCGTGTGTGTGCCGTGGGCGCTCGGGTGCGTGTTGCCTCCACGTGCCTTTCTGCTGACCACGCCCCCTCTGTCCCACGTGGGCTCAGGGCAAACCTCTTCACGCGGACACTGAGCGACATCGTGAACAAAGACGACTTTGTGCTGGATTCCGAGTATCTGGTCACCCTCCTGGTCATCGTCCCCACGTAAGTGGGCGGGGCGGGGGGCGGTGGGCGTCTCAGCCTGAGTTAGTCATCGCGGAAGGGCGCCGGGGTGGCCCT